ACACAGGACAAATCTCCAGATCAGCCCAAACTGGAAAGTAGAGAAAGAAATTCAAGTCCAGTGAGTGGCAGAGACGTCAGGGAAGTAGCTAATGATCTCCTCCCTTCCTTTTTGTGGGGATCTTTTCTTTCCTTAAGTTTGTGCTCTGTGCCATCAAGTTCTTTCCATCCCCAAAGGGTGAAACATGGAGATGAAATAAGATAGCATAAACACCTAATTAACATAGGAGCAAAAGAGCCCACGAACCTTGGATTGTTTTGTGACCCTGCAAGATCAGGGACTGTGGGAGTAGAGCTTTAGGTCAGAGGGTGACAGCTGGTTTCTAGGATTGCTTCCCACCAACTTCCAGTATCCCCTTTCCTACTGCATCCCCTTTGAGGAGTTTCTATGTTTGTTTGCATGCTATATCTTTCTCATCTGCATGGATACCTATGGAGGCCACTCTTTAATATTCTGGTCAGACGTTCTGGCGTTGGAGCTGATTTCTCATGGGGTCATTACACAGCACTGCAGCAATGCTTAAGGGGATACTGCCATATGGACAAAACGAACTGGGCAACTGTGGCCTCCACAGTTCATCCCTAATTTTCTCAATAAAGAGTTGGACAATTATCTCATCCACACAATGCCCAGCTTTTCACTCTTAGGTTGGCAGCATGCTTTAACATCTAAAGGGCATCCTTCCTCAGCGAAGGTTAATCCTTCCCCAATTTTGGTATTCTCCAAGTGTGGAGGTGACCAGGTGATGATGGGCACTGTGGTCCTACACACCTGGAGGTTGAAGAAGACTGCTGTAGGGCTTCACTCCAAATGGATGCGAATTAACTATTGGAAAATAGATTGAAATGAGCTCAGCACATTAAAAAGAAGTTTATAATTTAAAGTCCATGTAGATCTCTTCCGTTGTCCTTTCCAAATAACTACCATTGGGTTGTGGTCGGCCCAAATATTTGTTTGTATTTCAATTTCTCGAATGTTAGCAAATAAGTCCGCTGACATCCATACCATATCAATTCTAGACCAAGATGCATGTCTGTCTGAATAAAAAGTATATTGTTTATTTGCCGAATTTCTTTCTCTCCATGCGTCTTTCAAGTCT